ACTATGCTCCCGTTCTCAAAAGTTTTCTACGTAGTTTAGTTCGCTAGATCACGAGGTGCAAATTTTTCAAAAAAAAGTGACTAAACAAGAAAAAAACCTAGAGAGACATTGGCGCAAAAAAAGTCGATTTTTCAACCTCTCTCATAATGCTATAGTGTGTTTTGGACTTAAAAACTTTTGTACATTTATAACAGTTGCTTGTCCGGCGCCATTTGTTCTTGGGAGGAAATATAAAACTAATTGTCTCTCTCTCTCTCTCATTTCTTCAATTTCAGTTCATTGTTCTTCAATTTATCTTTTAAAGCAACTGAAATCACAACGAACGTGATGTGGTAAACTTCCTATTGACGCTTCTGGCAGATTCAAGTCGGATACAGTCTGACGACATCGCAACAAAAAACACATTTTGCCAAAGAGATAGGATGATACAAAGAAGAAAATAAAAGACAAAAAGCCCCAGCAAAAACACATGATATCTGTAGACAAAAAAATGAAATGAAAACGGAATTTGACGAAGGAAGAGACAATTAGTTTGTCACTGAAGAGCAAATGGCGCCGGACAACCGAATATACGAACAATTTCAAAAGTCCAAAAAACATTCTTCTTTCACTTGTGGCGCTTATGGCATTGACTATGACATTTATTTCAGTCAGAAGTCAGAAAAGCAGAAAATCCGACTTTCAGACACATAGAGAAGAGGTACACTTTCGTCAGTAGCGCATTTCAAAGTTTTTGGAAAATATTCCAGATACATGAAAAAGTTATCCGTCACGATTATTAGTGACTGTGATATATAAATAAGGTAATATGCCGATTACACAATACCTCTCTTGAAAGCGTACCTCTTGTCTTTATGCATGAACGCCAGACTTTCTGCTTCTGACGAAAGTGTACATCTTGTCTATGTGGTTGAATGCCAGATTTGCTGACTTTCTGCCTTGTCCGTCATTTGTGCCAAGGTTGAATGCGACCGGATGATCCATCTCATAATGGGAGGTATATGAACATTCATACACAAGTTGCAGAATGGATGTTTAGCTATTTTTTTAAAAAATTTAAATATTTAAATATCTTTTTAAATCGTATTCATATCCAAATAATGTATTTTTTATTAATTTTTCATTTTAACAATTGTTACACTGCTGGCATTGAAACCGATTTTGTTACAGTCTTTTATTGCGCCTTTTCTCTTCTTTATCTGAGTTTAAAAAAGAGAGGTTTCTTTATGTTCATTGTTCGTTGTTCTGACTGAAAAGCATTTCGGATTTTTTGCAAGATATTTCATATACATGGGAGCAGTGATTATCATATATAAAATAAGGTAAAATTCCGATCACACACAACCCCTCTTGAAAGTGTACCTCTTGTCTATACGCATGAAAGCCAGATTATGTGCTTTTCTGTCTTTCTGCCTTTTGATGAAAGTGTACCGACAAAGCGAGTTTTAGCATCAAACTGATATTTATTTTGAAGCAAGTATACATTTATATTCGACATGCACTCCTAACTTTGTTTCTCACGATCGGTTTTCTCTGCATCTCTGTACACGTTTCGCTGAATTCTCTTTCAGCTTAGATGTTAGAGAGCTCGGGATGGTTCCATTTTGTAGGTAAAGAAAACTAAGGATTTCTAAGAAACCTATTGGTGTTTTTAGGATTTTTGATATGAAAGTTTCGCGTAATATAAAGTTTGAAAAATCTGGCTATGTAGTCGAAGCGGTAGCATTTTCCTGCGGAATGAAACGATCGAAGCTCTCTAGTACCTAAACTTTGTGATCATTTTGGAAACCCCAACTGTCTCATATTGCTCCTTGTTCAGAGAACATCTCATAAATGGAGGTAAAAGGAGCAGCGACATAGCTAGCCGTAGGCCCACCCCTTCGAGTTTTATTTCCTCTAGGGTGTTTTTTTTTGTTTTTAGAATAGAAAGTAAAGCAGCATGAGAAAAAAACATTTTTCTTGTTCGTTCTGTATTTTCTAATGTGTACTAATAGTCATAATTCATTTCCTACTTATCTATGTGTTAAACAAAAAAATGTTCTGTTTCATCATAATTTACCATCTTTTTAGCATGTGATTTAAGCATGTATTTCTATTCTTATCCTTAACTCGTGGAAAAAGTTGGAATATGCTTAGGAAAAGGGCACGTTTACTGGTTGGGGACAGCAGTGCTTCAGAACGGCCAAAAAAGGGGAAAAAACTATGTTAGGAAATCAGAAATTTTTTGTGCCCACCTCTCCTAAAAATCCTGGCTATGTCATTAAAAAGGAGCCTCTAGAAATATATCATTGTCATAGTTTGACATGGTCAACATCTGCCGGAAGTTTGGTCTAGACCGAACTTGTAGTTACCGAAATAGATTTCTGACCAGGAGATCCTTAATTATGGTGAATTAATCATGCGTAGCATCATGTCTAGCTTTGTCTGAGTTGTCTTTTGCATATCTTCTAAAGAATTTTAAATTTGTAAAAGAAAATTAGCCTTTACCTCTTCTTATGATTGGCTCATCCAGGGAGTATCTGCCAGCCATTTTCCAATGTTTTGCGGACAAACACACATACAACTCTTTTTTAAAACCCTTGAGTAAAGTCAAAGGGAACTTTGTGATTGCATGCAGTCAGGCAGATTGTAAAAACGATGCTTTTTTCAGGAATGAGAAATTTTTCCAGCATGGAACTTTTCCACTTTACTTTGAATATCAAAGTGAGTTCTTCTAGTTTGTCCTGGAACACAAAGTGGGTAAAGTGGGAACAAAATTCTTTTAGGAAGTCTTTTTTTACTGTCTCACAGCCACAGCTTTCGCATTTTCACAGAAGCAATCACTTCAGTTTACCCTCTTTGTGAGCGTATTGAGAGAAGGAAGGCGAAGAATGGGTTTAAAATGTATCTAATCTAATTTGATGATTATCTTCTACAGCTCATTTATATTCTGAACTGTGTTCAGAAAAAAGTTACAGAAAGGCAATCTCGAGGACAACACATGTAGTAAGGATAAGTTCAACTTTTTAAAGCTTAAACTTTTCTGTAACGAAAAAGCGTTTGTAAAACAAAATTTATTCAGCACAAACAAGTCGACTTTAAATATTAAAATCACTGTTAGCTACTCTCTCTTTTTTTTTCTTCTCTCAATCCCGCTAGTTGTTATGAAGAATAAATGTAATAAATTATTACTTGTATTTAAATACTTCAACTGCCAAATAATACCATGCAAGTTTAATTCTTTTCCCTTCTATTTACATTGTATAGAGAGAAAAAAAAACATATTAGAAAGAAAAAAACTTTTATGTGCCTACCTGACATTTCTAGTAGAAATTATTATTTACTTCATATTTTTCACTGACATTAGATTATAGACTGCTGTTCTGTTAATGTAATAAATTATACTAGTTGTGAATAACATAATTATTATATAAACACAACCTTACTTATTTCTCTAAGATTCATTACAAATGGTGTTATTTATATATTTCTGAAAAAAAAACACGTTTGTATGTTTTGATATTTAACGTTTTTATACAATTTTTCACATTATGATAATAGCAGCATGTAAGCCAATGTCAGTGAAAAAAATGTATGAAGCTTGTTGTTACTACATCTCGGGTAATCACATAAAATTTCTTTTTTCTTTCTTCTTTTATATTGTAAATAGAAAAGTGAAAAAAAATAAACGTACAAACCTAAAGCGTTATTTGACAGTTAAAGTATTTAAATCTATATAATCATTTATTATATGTATTTCTTCATAACAACTAGTGGGATGGAGAGAAGAAAAAATAAAAGAAGAGAAAAGTAGCTGACAGTGATTTTAATATTTAAAGTCGACTTGTTAGTACTGGATAAATTTTGCTTTACAATCGCTTTTTCTTTATTGAAAAGTTGAACTGGCTCTTACTACGTGCGCTGACCTTGAGACTTCTTTCTGTTCTTTCTGTAACACAGTTTAGAATATATATGTCAGAGGTTAACGAAATAATTCGATAATTTGATCTTCGAGGATGATCCTCCATTCTTTCACTAATCGTTGTTCTCACGTTTTGTTAGAGAAAAAACAAATTCATTATCACAAGTCACGCGAGTTTACTGTAACTATAAAATATAAACAAAATATAAAAACATCTTGTAAAAAATAATTTTACTCAGGAAGATTCTTACTGTCAGTCCGGTCTCATGAGCGATATCCCATTCGGAATATACCCTATATCCCAAACGGGATATCACAGAAAAGCGAATATAGTATAAGAAAGCGGATGAAAAACTGAGTCGGGATCAAAGATGCTCTAGTCTTGGTTTAAGGGTCTACCGTACACGATTTTTTAAATTCTAGTAGGGATATACAAAATAATCTGATCGGGATATATATCCCGTTCGGGCAATAAGACCGGACTGACCGTATCTAGATATGCCTTCAGTATACCGTATCCCATTCGGAATATAAAGATATATCCCGATCGGGCTATATCCCGAATGGGATATATATCCTCATCGGGATATATATCTTGTTCGGGCTATGAGTTCGGACTGACGGTTCATAGTAAACAGTTAAAAATCGTAGTCGATGAAATCTGTCAAAATCTAACGATGTTGTGACTTTTCAGATTCAATACATAAATTCTAACTGACTGAAATGTTTTTACATCTCAGTTTTCGATAGTCTTGTGTTAGACAAAATTCAATGTCTCTTATACATAACTTTAGTCGTGTAATTAAAAACGCTTTAATATTAAATTTTAAAGAATGACTTTGCTAGTACTTACTCAAAATAGTATTACAGAGTGCTTCTGCTATTACCGTTGTATAAGAAGAAAACGTAAGAATTCATCAATATATCTCATTTGTTGGTTTCGTTTCTACTTGTTGCACTTGTATCGGAGAGGAGAGGGCGAGACATCGGAATCTCTTCCCACATACATAAACTGTCTATTTTTGTCATGTTTTATGCAACACATTTTTTTTTTAATTTACTTTGTTTCTCTTATAGACGCATATTTAATGCGTAACTAATGTCGTATGACAATGAAAACGATAAATTCTTGTCATTTACTCGTAAAAAATGTTTTATTGGTATTTTATTATTGAACGGAATACTGGGAATAATGTATTATTTTCGAGCACAATCAATAACCATTAAAACACCTACAAATATTGTATCATTTTATGAAGAAAATATTCCTACATCATTAAAAACTTTGAGAAATATTTTCAAAAATGATTATATACAAAATGATTTAACATCATTTTACTCAACAGTTCATCGTGAATTACAATTGGGATTTCGATGCTTAAGAACAAACACAAGTTTACTTACACAGAGGTAATCAATCATAATCTGACGTGCAATATAATTTTCATTTTCATTTTTTTTACATTTTAGAATGAAACGTTCGAAAAATTTGTACCAGTACGAAGTAAATAATTCCATAGCATGTATTCATAATAAAACTATTGATTTATTAATAATGATTATATCAAAATCGGACAATTATAAAGTTCGTGATGCTATTCGTCGTACATGGGGAAATATTGGTTATCTACATTCAAAAACACCATTTATCACTATTAAACTATTATTTATAATTGATCTTGATGAAAATTATATACGAAATATTTACTTAGAAAATGAATTATTTAATGATATAATTCAAGTTCAATTACCACCACGATATACATTAGTCACATATCGTGTTATGTCTATTCTAGATTGGTCAGCAAGATTTTGTCGACAAGCAAAATATATATTTAAAACAGATGACGATATTTTCATTAATTCACCATTATTAATTCGTTATGTTTTAAATCTAATTTCAACATCCATTTCAAATATTACAAATTCTACATCGAATATAAAACAATTAAAACATTTTAATCCTAATTCATTTGATTTATACGGTTATAAACATTCTAATCCAGGTGTATTTCGACATTCTGATGATCTTGTTAGTCAACGTTATGTCATTACAGATGATGAATATCCTTGTTCAAGATATCCTGACTTTTTAAGTGGTTTTGGTTATTTAATACCATCTGTTGTACGTGATGCTTTAATTTATGCATTTTATTACGATGATCATCCATTTAGAATCTCAGATGTATATATAACAGGAATATTACCTGATTATTTGGATATACGACGAACACCAATGTCAAATTATAACATACGATATTCAGGTAGTTGTGATCAATTTTTCGATAACTATAAACAATCGTTTGCCTGCGCCTCGGGTGAACATCATGGAGATAATACAGATGTGTTCATTTTATATAATAAATATTGGAAAATTCTTAAAGGAAACATACAAGCAATCTATGCTTAAAAATTATTTAAGATAAAAAAAGAGCTTCATATTCGCAATACAATTCAACCAAAGATGTAAAATAATGTTAAGTTTATCGAAGAAAAGTTTTTTTTTTTCTAAAGGAGATTGAATCATTACGATTTTTTACATTTTTATAAATTGTTTTCATTCTATGAAAATACAACGTTTCTTTATGTTGAAAATGTATTTAATCACAATTATAGAAATCTTTTGTTGTCCAGATATTCGTGCTGCGAACGCTGTTGGTGATGGAATTGTCATAGTAGAATTGTTTTATAATGATCAAGAATATCAATGAAGAAAAAAACTAAAATACAAAAGTGAATCCTAGTGAATGTACTTGAGGTCAAATACTTAGAAAAGTACTTCGGTAAATAATATCAAGAGTTTTTACAGTTTTTTGCAAGTAAAAAGGTAAATACTTAGAAAAGAAATAAAAGGTAATTTAATAAGTACTTTATCAAGTATTTGGCAGGTAACTTGGTAAGTACTTGCTAAATATATGCAACTATCCAAAGTTCTTTCAAGTACTTGGCACATATTACATCTAAAAATGCTTGAATAGGGCTTAACCATGTACTTTAGAAAATTTGCAAGTGGCTAAGTACTAGATCTCAGGTACATTCACTAAGGAAGACTTTATATCCTGATCGAAGTGTGCCATTTTTTATAATGTACGTATACATGTAACAAAAGTGTCATGTACATCATAATAAAACTAGACAACATATGTCTCCGGGAGATGACTAAGTTGAGTACTAAAGTTATCTAGCAATGCAGGCAGTTTCGAGCACATTTTAGCTATTAAGAAAATGAATAGAATGTGACTCACAAATTGATACTCATAGACAGGGCAGGATTCAATAGGGTTACATTATACTTCTATTGACTAGCTTTTTAGCTATTTTCTGTAAATAAAGTAATAACCATTTTGGTAAATAAAGTTCAAGTTCATTCAAAGAAAGACGATCTCATATGACTAACCTTGCTGCAACACTTCATATCAATATACTACATCTTTGCTGTTCGATGGATGTTTCGAATGAAAATGATAAAATATATTCAAGAACTACTTACAGAAGTTCAAAATGGTCAGTACTTTTTGTATTCTTCGTAAATAGAAAATGTGTTATATGAAACACAAACTGTGTAGAAATAGTTTTTGAAGAAAGAATTCTTATGTGGTATGGTATCAAATTTGTGGTAATAGTAAAACATGAAGACACCAACAGATAGCCACTGACATCTACCAAGACAGCATAGAGACACCCAGAGACAACCGAAAATACTATACAGACATCCACTTCTACAGACATGGGAGCGACACAAAAGTGGATGCCTGTATAGTAGTTATTTTGGGTTGTCTGCGGGTGTCTCTATGCTGTCTGTGTAGATATCTGTGGGCGTCTTCATGTTTTACTATTAGCCTTCAAATTTGCAATGACAGTACTAAAAGCAAGAGTAAAAAAGTGTTCCAATAAATCATATGCTTACCAGAACTGGACATTTGCTACAATTATAATGATTATTACTGGAATCAAACATTTCAATCAAACATTTTCACTTTTTTTTCTATTTCCATTGTAGTTTTATCGCATGAAACACTTCGGGCCGATAAAATTTATATATATTTTTTTCCATTTACTTCGTTTTATTCACTCGATGGTGTGACACTTCGGTTTCCTTACTAAAAGTTAAAAACAAGCAACCATTATTGAAAGAAATAAACCTAGTGCAACTTACATAAGTTATGTGACCGATTTGTTAAACATGACGTGTGTTCTGAACAATCAGATTGGTTACAAAAAGATTCTTCGCAATTTGATTTTCATGTCAAAGAATCGATACTGCACTGTAAAAAGTAAAGTGTAGGCACACTGTGCATCATGTTGGACTGGTTTTGCACACTGAAAACGGTTTGTTCATTGCACTCGTAACACACTGGAATTGCACATATAGCTTCCACAGACAAAACGAGAAAAAAGACCAAAGAGAAGAATAATTCTTCCGTTTTTTTTCCTTAGAGAACGTAAGATAAAAATTCAGATTACACAGTGACAATTTGCACATAACTTTGGATTCAAAATGCACAATTGACGGAATGCACACTAGTGGGCACACTTTATTTTTTGCAGTGTGGAATTCTGTTGAAGATGGACTTCTTATGGGCGGTATTTACTCGGTACTATATTTAAACAGAGATGTTAACATGTTTATTCATAAATACCTGATCAATTTCTTGTTGACGCTCCATTCAAAGGCTAAAACTGAATTTAGGCAGTCTTTTTAAACTTTTCACAACGTGTTCACACTCATAAGAAATGTGGATAAATGTACCATTCTTTGAAGACTGATTTGTATTCTAAAATAAATGTTATAACGGGTGGGCCAAAAACAATACTTCATTTTGTATTTTGGCTATATCTCCGTCGCGTTTCATCCTTTCGAGTTTAACTGGTTTTTAAAACGATGCCTCGTAAAATTCAGTGTAAGAATATGTTTGATATATGATAGTACTAGAAAACTTACTCTGAAGTAGACTCGTGCGGGGCAACCTCGAATCCCATCCCGTCTGTCCCGTCTGTCCCGTTCCGTGGGACAGACGGGGTCTGGGCAAAAATAAAATTAGAAAAAATAGGCTTAGGCGCATGGGCTTGGGGCAAGAAAAAAATTTCACGGGGTCGGGACAAGATGCTGGAAAATGTTGCTCCGTAAGTTTTGTCTTTTGATTGTAATTATACTGCAACTTCAAATATTTAATTCTTGTCATATCGGGTGACCCAGAATAAATGGCCCTTCTTATATTTTGCTTATAATTTTTTTCTTTTCAATCCTTAGACCTGATCGTTTTTTCCAAAAGATGCGTCGTCAAATTCTTTACAAAACTTGATCAAACTTATTTCTATAAAAAGTTCAGAAAAAAAATGAAACGAAAAATATTTAACATGACGAAAGGACCAACTTTCTAAGGTATATTGTTTTACAAATTTTGAAATATTTTAAACAAGGCTAAACACAATGAAACAAAACTGAAGATAATTTTGAGTACTCTAAAGTACGCTCTTTCTGCTTATGCAGTTCAAAGTTCATTCAAATCTATAGCACTGAAAAATCTGACATTCTAAAATTCACCTCATGGTGACCAAAATCTGCTATTGCTCGGCAGCTGAATTTATGAAGAAAGCTTTAAGGTAACTTTCAGCTGAATCTGGCACAAGTATCATTTCTCACCAAACTATTGTCCATTCAAAAAAAGAATAACCCATGACTGTTTTTTAATAACTCAAGAACCGAACCACTTAGCGATCTGCGGTTTTCACCATTAGAAAGAGCGAAGCGTGGGACGCAGGTCTATATAAAAGTTGATGAGTCTGCTGGTAAAAATATGCGTTACTTAAGGCTTTAAATTGTAGTGAAAATTGTAGTAAAATATACCTATTCTTGAACATTAACCTCGGAAGACAACTGATTCAAATGTCAGGTATACGTTAAACCATACCTCTTCATTATTCGAACTCAGCAAGATAAAATCTTGAAGTTGTTCCGTTAAAAAAGAAGAACTTCCACGATAAAAAGGAAGTCGCAGGTTTTAAAAAAAGTGTTGATTATTTGATGACTTTTGGGAAATTTACTCAAAAATTCCTGATATGAGTTTTGTATAATAGATTAATTTTTACACAGGCCTACGTCCCACGGTTCGCTCTTTCTAATGGTGAAAACCGCAGGTCGCTAAGTGCTTCGATTCTTGAGTTATTAAAAAAACAGTCATGGGTTATTCTTTTTTTGAATGGACAATAAAAAGATGCTGTTTTGGTACAAGATTAATTTTGCATCGTGCATCTAATACTGGTTGGTTGATAGAGCTATGGTTACAAAATGCGTGTATTCTCTTCTTCTCATCATCCAACTCAATGAAAATGGTGGAACAAAACGTTATTTCAGCTTAGAAAGTTGGTCCTTTTCATCGTGGTGAGTATTCTTCATTTCATTTGTCTCCTTAACTTGTTATAGAAATAAGTTTGATCAAGATTTGTAGAGAATTTGACGGCGCAACTTTTGGGAAAACGATCGAGTCTAAGGATTGAAAATAAAAGAAATTATATGCAAAACACGAGGAGGGCCATTTATTCTGGGCCAACCAATACTATCAAGCCAAAACCGTAATTTTACAATAACTAATAAAAATTAACCTGGAGAGGCGAAATAATCCGGATTTAAACTTGAGAAGAAGTTCCCTATCTAAAACTAGGTTTACAGTTCTTTCCTTTCGGTTGCGAGCTAGTGAGTGGATGTAAAACAAATGGATGTAAAGTTTAAGTTTAGACCCAAATAAATTATGCTTAAATTTCATCATGCAGATTTTTTGCAAAACTGAGTTTGAGACCTTAAGCGTCTCTTGTAATAGTTACGGTTTATCACAGCAGAAAAAATTTTTAACAAAAGTACTGGACAAACGGGACGGGGCAAAACAGCCCATCAATTTTTTCACGGAACAGACGGGTTCGGGCCAACATTATTTGCTCACCGACTCGGGCTGACGAGACGGGACAAAAATTTTTATGTTCGAGTTCAGACCTACGGGCTCGGGACAACAGAAAAGTTTGTCCCGCAGGACTCTAGTCTGAAGTGCTTCAGAACTATAGAACGATCAAAAGAAAATCAAATTTTTAGGAAAAAAGAAGTTCTCAAGAAAGTTCCATTGCATTTCTGACCTTTATATTTTTTTCATTACATGTTAAACACATACTTGTAGAGAATTTTACGGTGCATCTTTTTAAAAAAACAACAGATATAGTACATGAGAAATCTAACTTCTACCCTACCAGACCGATTTTTCTCGTTTTAGGCGCTATAATAATACATCAGATTTTAGCTACAACGCTCAACTTTCAACAGATCAGACAAACTGCGACCTTTTCAAGCATACACGTACAAACAGTTATTTTGTATTTTGCCTATATCTTCATCCCATTTCATCCGTTTGAGTTAATAGGCAT